GCTTTTCCCATTGCATTCACCATGTCATTCAGAAAAAGAGTCATTTGTCTCAATGCTATCTTCACAGAGGCAGTCAGGAGCATTAAGAGAAAACCCATTTGTTGATAAACTCTGGTAAATGTTTCATGAGAAAACACTTAAGATACTGTGGGGGAGTAGAGGGTCTATGCAGGGCAAAAGAAAATAAAAATGTAAAAAATATTTCTACAAGTAAACCTGAACAGCTTAAAATGTATCCCATATTGCTAATAATAAAGGTTATGAAATGCCACATACATCACAGAGTATTTGACTTTTTAACCTGTGCTATCGCAATTAACATAAAATACAACAAATTCTGATATTAGTTCTGTTTATAGTTGTCCATTTGTTTAATCAGCTGCATTTAGTTAACAATATAATAAGCTTAAGTTAATACTTTTACACTTTTTAGTGTAGTGTATTTCAGAAATGAGGGGACTCCTTTTTGCATCCTACATAGAGGTAATGCAGACACAAAATGCCTAATTCAGTTTAGGCCTTCCTGTTTGAGCATTACTGCACAGTTGGGGGTCCCCGGTCCTGGTTTCAGAGAGCCCTAATCCAGGTTTCATAGCCAACCATTACACCATCCCTTTATAAATATAATTTCACTATTTAACTGGGACCATTTAAGCATTTTTGTTACAAGTGGAACAAAATCAATGTCCCTCAGCCCTCAAAGACCACAGTTCCCATTACTGAAAAAAAAAAAATTCATCAATGTCAAACAAATGACCTGAGCCCAACCATTGAGGTACTTTCTAATTACGTGGACTAGGGCACTACTCTTTTAAACTAGGTTTGGAGGCCTAGGCTCTACATATGTTTCAGCATGCAACGCACTCTTGAGTTGACCTTTTAGACAGATTTTAACAGCACTATAAGACTGTATCCAAAATAAATCAAATCTTACAATGCTCCACCAGTATCAAACAGCTTTTTGGAGGGTCCTTAGCTGACCTAGGTATCAGATCCCCCTGTAATCACTGTAGTTTTAGATTAAAAATTATATCCAGAATATTCTACAATAACTAATGAAACAATACAGCACTTCATGAAGTAACTGAGTTATGCCAAAATGACTTCTGACTCATCACTCAACTGCTCTCGGCCCAGCTTTGTAAATTCGCATTCCCTATGTACAGTACGTGAAGACCCATGAAGGGAGGGTCATAACTGAACTATCAACCTGCATTAAAAAAAATAAACATCAGAACACCAGACAGTTTTAATGCAAATCAACACTTGAATGCCTCTCTTTTTCATAATAAATAGCCACAAAATAGATTCTAAGGAGCGGAACAAATCTTTTTTTATACTCTAATCCACAATTATACACTACCAAACCATACCATTGGTGTATATAGTAATGTTATCACACTTATTAATTAATTATGCTTAAACAAAATCAGCCTTTTATCTTATTTATGTCTGTACAACAAAGTGAACTATCACCTCTTGTAAAACCACAAATTAGGGATCTGCACATTTTAAGGGTGATGAAGCAACACTAATTTACCATACTTTGCTGCAATTCTTTGATATTAAACCAAGATCTAATCTAACATGCAAAAAGCAAAAAAAATGTTTCAACAAAAGCAACAAACAGTAGTGATTAATCTTAACCAGAAATTAGAGAAATTTCCCCCCTTGCACCCATTTTTAACACATTTAGGCCAAACAGTGCAGCTTTATTGATGCAAGGGCCTAAATCAATATCTGACAGCACAGGGTATTCTGTTCCACTTGTGGATCTGAGCAAGTGCTTACAGACTATGTCCTCTCCTGCCAAGGGCATCTTCTCAGTTAGAAATCTTTATAAAATATAACAATTTACAGAGAATGGGTACAGCATAATTAGGCTGTCAGATTAAAAAGGTCATCTATGTCATGTAAGACCACAATATAACAAGTTCAAAGAAGAAGGCAACAGGTGGGTTCAGACAACATTCTCTAGACAGGCGTGTCGAAAGTGAATAAACAATGAACTGAAGTGCATTAAGAGCCAGTATGATGCTGGTAAATGTCAAAAAGAAAACTCCACTGAACTATATGAATTCCACAGTGATTGGTAACAGGCTGACTGTGCAGTTAAAGAGAAGCATAACCCTTTGTATTGCTTTAGAAGAAACAACATAACATCATGTGCACAAAAAGGGTGGAAAAATATTTTGTGCTAAGCTTTTTCATACAGTTTAACATTTGACCTCTAACTTTAAAAGCTAAATTTCACTCTTCCACACCAGTACTTGCACTATCTCCTGATTTGCATTTTTAAAATTCTGCAGAAAGCAAGATACAAAAATGAGGAGCATATCTAGCTCTCTGGCAAAAACCTTTGAAAATCATCCTGCACAATATGTGGGCTGCAAGATCAGGTGTTTGCGTTTAATACTGGGAGCCATCGCTTTGAATATCTTTCACTGGCACACATTTTGACAATGTCTATTCCTACAAAGTGCCTGGGAAAACAAATCCTGGAGACCTCATCAGTGAAGTAAGACGAGAGCAGAATTAGGCCTGTATTTCTGGTGCATATGGAAAACCAGCTGGCACTAGGTCAAAGCTCTGCCCTAAATCTCTACCAGAAGCTACAGCATTTTAGGTAATCATGCATGAAATATGGAGTGATTAGCAAAATTGTTGGGATCACTCTGTTTTAAAAGAGTGAGAATCTGTTAGTATCGCATTCAAAAAGGAAAAAAAATATAAAAGAAAAAACCCTTTTCTTTGCTTCCTATCAGGAGTTCACAGGTCATCCAATTCTGTCTTTACATGCTTTTAATGGGCATTTTTATTATTAATAGTGATCACAAGGTTGTTTTAACAAGGTGGGAAATGTGTATTAAAAACACGTTTAAGGTACAAAGAAAATCATGCCCAAGAACGCTTATATCTTGTAACAGACGAATTATGATCAAATCAAAAGTTATTAGTGACATCGGTGATTAGATAAACATTGTATTTTACTGGGCAAAAACAAAACTTGTATTTAAATTAAATACATAAATGTATACAAATTAAACAGGTGATAAGGCTGTAGTTCACTTGGTATTTGGAACACTATACTGTATACTGCTGCATGAACAGTATGGTTCTATTACATGGATGATAACACACCATGGAATAACTTGCTGCTTAAAGTTTATTACATTCACATTTACTTTCCTCAATAAAGCAGTGAAGATTCCACTATGGTGGTTAATTACGTTACGATTACGAATAAGGAGTTTTAAACTTCACAAAACCCCTACTGAAAAACATTTTTAACTGAGACCAAAACATAGCGCATGTTTAAATACACGTAAGAGCGGGATCTGGTCATTCTGCAATGCCGCAACCTAATGGGAAAAGCAACAGTTCAAACCTACATTATTTTGGTTTCAAATTTTTAAATTCTCTCATACAGCTTCTCAGAGGAAATACCACATAAAAGAACAAAGATTGTGAGCCAATCTGGCAAAAAGTGATGCTAAGCAGACATCTGCTACAATCATTAAGAGAGGAATCATTTACTTGCCATGATTGTAGGTTACGCTGCAAAAAAAGGTGCTGAGCTATTGGATACCAACGAATAGGTGTTGTTTGGACACTTAAGTTAAACCGAAAATAAGCTGCTGCGGTTTGACGAGCATAACACAAAACCTTTTGTTTTCTGCATTGATCAAACAAGTTGCTTTCTTGTTTAGAAACAACACCTTTTGTCTTATCAAGTAAGTTAACGCTTACAAATTTCGAAGTACTGCACCAGCTAAGCACCATATTTTTTTTTTCAGGAAAACTCTTTTGTTCGGCAATTCCAAAACGTCAAAAGAAATAGTTTGGTGATTTACCGCGCCATAACGGCAGAGATTTCCACTTACATCAATCACAGTAAAATCCGTGCCTGCACCTCTGCCAAAAGCTTGGTATTTCTGTGCTGGCTGGTTCTTTTCAACAACAGTTTTTATAGCTTCTTAAAGCTATATGTCTTATATTCTGCATGCTGCGTGGTGCTCTTGGTGTGGGACCAAAATCATTAGACAAGCGCACAGCAGCAGCTGCGTAATTTTAGTGACAATCAACTCAGTTTGCAACAAAGTTACAAACTATCGCTCTTCACAGTCACGGCATAAATTCAAAAAATCTTTAAATTGGCAAAACGTCATTCCACTCTCATATTTCATTTTGATGGACGTTTCTATTGTGTCAGACCCTGATTACTGCCATAAACACATTTACCACACTATTTACAAGAAGCTTAAGTGTTGGTCAGGTTCCCCAAGCAACCTGTACGTATGTTAAGCGAGTTAAATGTTAACATTCTGGTGGGGTGGGTGTTATAGATTAGTGTCCTTTTATAACTCTTCATTTAGTATTATCAACTGAATCCACGTACATGTGGTCAAAGCATACAGAGGTAGAAGGAAGACACTTTGCGCCAACTTCAAAGTTAAGGAATTTACTATTTACATACAAACTACTAAAGACTGATATAAAAGAAAACATTTTTCGGTATACTTTCTTCTGCAACCATAGGTTAAGAATACGCGTGTATAGAAATCCATCACAGTTAAACAGCACTACGTGTATATAGGGGAGTTAACTTGAACAATATATTTTCCCGTAAACATTTCTCGAAGAAAAAACATAAAACACCACAGAAATTAACTAAAGCAGTCATGTTAATCATAAGAATAACTGTGCAAACTCTGCATTTTGCGATTCAGTCTACGAGTAGGAACATACCGTACTTAATTCGACATTAAAAACATTCCACTCTGCATAGTTCAAGGAGTTTCACCCTTGAGAAAACTGTTAATAAAAGAAACACAGTTTAAATAATGTAGTGCAAAACGTGACCTTTGAGAATTTATTGAAATTCTGACTTTATACCTTTCACTGCCTTCATATTTTATGCTAGCCATGTAAACAACACCATAACTTTCCCCCTCTCCGCACTTCTGATATAAGACAAACGTCAATCATAGGCAACTTACCTCTATTGAGTTCTCGGCAGTCCCGATCGAGCTACAATACTGCAATAACTCCAGCTACAACTATCCCAAACTGATGAGACACAGCGCATCACTTCCACAAGAGAACATCGTGAAATGGGAGAAACAGGGCTGTCGAATCTGCAACAGGTTTATTTCAAAATAGATTTCCAAGACCTTTTAAGGTGTAATATTCCGAAAAGCATTCACAGAAAAAATACAAATACTGTATTGCAGAATGTCTTATCTATTTTTTTTTTCTTTTTCAGGCCTTAGTAGAAAATAATGTGTTTCCAGTTTGTTAGATAGTAACCATTGTTGCAGGCAAACATTCTCTCCTTCGCCAGCCTCAGTCTGGGAGTAACCAGACACCCAGATCCCGCAGTTCATTGGCTCAGCGCCGTAAGCAGGAGCAGTCACATAAGCAACCAAAGAGGCGTTTCTATAGAAACCTTCGACTGGGAGGAAAATACGACGGAAAGTTGTGTCACTTTTCAAATATTCGCCTGTTCTGTAGCGAATTAAAAGTTGCATAATTCAGGGTTTTCGTCGCCGATTGTAACAATTAAGCACAGCAGTGAAGGCCTTGGATGCAAGTTTGTGTAGGGGAGTGCGGTATATCTTAAACCTGAAAGTCAGCTTCCAAAGAATTGACTTTATGATGGTGGGTTGAGGTTTTTTTTCCTGTTACTCTTTATCACTCTTGTTTATTTAAACAATTAAAGTACGTGGCTCTCCGGCCTGTAACGCGTACAGCTTTAAATACATTTTAAAGGAAATATTTGGCTCAGTTTGACACTGGGACAACCAATGTTTGTGGTAAGATCGGCGAAGCACCACATTTGTATGTTTTATTTATGAACTGTAGGCATTGTTAGTAAACAGTCTTTTGTTTTAATAAACCTTTGAAACGCTTTGTCTCCTTTTAACAAAGTTTCCTCACCATCGAGTTTAACTTTTTTATTTTAAAAACGTCTATGAATTTGCGTGATGCCATTAAATACATTTTAACAGTGTCGCCGGGCTTTTAATAATAAAAAACGAGGTAATTAGAACTGTTTTATGGGAACAAGAAACTAAGACAAAACACTATCTGGCAACGTTATGCATTTGAATTTTTGAGGAGGGAGTTTACCGTAATATTAATCTCCCGTTACGCATCACAAATAGCCAGAAGGATTGTTTTTCTTAAAATGGGATGTGGGATTTTGCCCTGTGGTTAAATTTGGTTAAACTATGCATATTCCCATATTGTGTGAGCAACAGTGGTGTGCATGCAAACCAATATTTAAAAATGTGGAGTGATCATCTCTGTTCTTCTATGACGAAAACGTTCCAGGAGTGAATACGAACGTGAAATTCCTAATTTGAGCTGACAAGTGATATCTAAACTAAAACCCAGTACTGTCACACATTCGAAAGAAAATAATTGAATGTATTGGAAATAATATGATATTTTCCATTCAGAAGTGTCCAAAAGAAACGAAAATATTAGGACTGCATTTTCATGTGGTGCACAACTCCAGCCCTGGAGGGTTGATTTACTGGGTTTTCATCCCACCTTTGCTGTTAATGAGCTGATTGAGATAATGATTATATTAATCAGACCAAATTACTACCTATAGGTCAGTAGCTGTTTATAATTTAAAGGAGATGTAGACAACTTGCTAGATTCTGGCCCTCGAGGACTGGAGAGGTGCACCACAAACTTCAGGTTTTCCGAATTTCTTCCTGTAGTTTTCTACTGATCCCTGCAGGTCTCTTAACCTCTGCTTTGGATATCAGAAATAGCTGCTCTGTTGCCTTCCGCCACACCAGTTTAGAATGAAAATGAAAATCATGTCTCTGGGTGTCCTACATCCCCTCATCCCAAAATATAAAGTAACAACTGTCAGCAACTTAATATAATGCTCAAAAAGCACCACATATGATTCCTTTTGTAGTATTCCTTGCCTGTGTGTTTTATTTAGTATTTTGTTATAGACACAAAAAAACAAAGATAGGAAAATGCTTGATGTTTAATTAAGACAAGTACTGTACCAATAGGCACTGATGTGGTACAGTACTTACAGGTCTGGAGTGTACAACTCCAGTCCTGAAGGGCCAGAGTGTTTCTTTCTTTGTTTCTTTCAAGCTGAGCCTTTAATTATCTAATTCAACTTAATATTTGTGTAATTTGACAAGTTTAAGCCTGTCTTTGTTCTTATGAAGCTGGGAATCTAAAGAGATCTACAAAACCTACTGGACAGTCATCCTTAAGGACCAGAAATGGACTCCCCTAATTATAGGTCCACAGATCCAGACAATGTTATAAATGATTAAGAAAAGTATATATAATGTTGTGGTCTATTTGGAAAGGTTTTTGTCTTAACAATAGCATTTATGCATAGTTCTATTTTGTATTATAAGATTATCCTGATGTTATAGCAGTATCCTGATGTGAGCATACAGGACACAACAGGGAGCTGGTTATGTTGGGATAATGGTATATTTGAGCATGCAGGCTACTATATTTTAGAAATAAAGATACAGACACATAATTATTTTAAATGAAATATTAATCTAATATAACAGTAAGCCAAAAAGAAAACTGGATGCTGTCTTCCAGTCAGTATCAGCTTTTTTGAACTGTCCAGTTATTTCAAACTAATAAAGCCCATGTGATTACTCTTTTTGGTGTTACACTCTTCTTAGTTGTATTAACTTAGAACCATTGGGATGGGGGTGTGTGTATTTTTTACTTATGGTTTCATCCCCTGCACAATCTTTTCTCACTCATGACTTTAAACTGTCACAGTCTGTGCCCCACATAGATGAGTCATGAATGAGTTATGTCAGGATCATCACACATCTGAAATTTACTTGACAGATTAGGGCATTTCATTGTTTATTTATTTTCAATTATTAGCCCAATAATATATTTGTGATAAACATTAGATGCTGGGACTTTTACTTTTTACCCAAAACTCCAAATCAAAAAGTGAAAGTAAAAAGTGTTTGTTTTTTTTTTTAAAAAAACATGAACTGACTCAAGTCCTGAAAGCAATATGGTACAGGATTTCATAAAGTCAGCTCTGTCCTTTGGTAAGCCAACATCAGCTAAGAACCAAGTACACAGCACTATGAAAATAAGATGATGGTAGGAGATAAAGCTTTATGTCAGTAATACAATTTTAAGAAGAATTCTAAAATTAGCAGACAACAAATACAATGAAACAAGGAGATGAGTTTGTCGACTACTACGTCTAAGTCTTATGTGTAGTCGTAATATCAGAACATCAGAAGTATCATTTCTAACAAATATAAGTCTATGCAATCTGATTTTGTTTAGATGAAAGAACATGTTAACTACCTGTCAAGGGAAAAAAATATCTTAGGATCTTTGCACATACAGTATAAGACTCAATTGTTAAACAGATACAGATATTATACAGTCTTATGACTTCAGTATTCATTTTAATCTTAACATTATTGCATACAGTAGGAGTCTCAAATCACTGAGCCCACTTAACTGATAGAATCAACCATGTCATTCGGTCTCAGTGAAAATTTAACTCTGAGAACTTAGAGCATATTCATAACGTAACACACTCCAAATAGGATGAAAGCACAATAATCAAATCTGTATCATGATTTTTGCTTAGGTACTGTAGTTCTGAGTGTTATTTTTAATCAAGTTGAACTGAATCCCCTAAGCCAACTCAATAATACATGATTTTAGAAGTAAACTTGTAGTCATTCTCTTGAAAAAAAAAGGATATGTGTCCACATATGTGTCAGGAAAAGGCTTGTCAGTAGGCCCACACAACTACAACTCTGGCTAATATTGCACTTCCTTTCCCTCTGGTTTCTGGACTGTTTGGCAGGGGGATAAATGAAACATGGAAACAATAAGCATGAAAAATAAGTTATTTACTTTTCAAACACTAAAACACAGAGATAAAAGAGAGATTAGTGTTTTACAAATATGAATTACAATGTTCAGTTTATCTATTTTTTCTTAATGAAACTAAATGTTGTGCAATGCATACATATGGAGGTCTTTATTATAAAAAAACAGTTGCTGAAGTGCTAATAACTGCAAGAAAACCACTATACTTTTGAGTTATTAAGCCTTGAAATCCTTCAACATTATAAAAAACCTACACAGAAAACACTGTGGAAAAGCTACACTTAAAAATATTTTAGCTTCCAAGTTAAAATGTAATGCTTGAGCAGTACCTTGAAATTAACACAATACAGTCTTAGTGTAAAATCTTTCCTTTTTTGTAACAGTAGAATATATTATGTGATGCAATGTATTCACGAAATATTCAACTCCATTAAAAGAAACTTTTCTGCCTAGATTCCTGAATAGCCTCCCATTTCAATTTACAGTATGGCGTAAAATCTAATAATGTTGCACTAATGATGCTTTGTTTTTCCATAAAACAATGTGACTGATGATTTGAAAAGTGACATACCGTAAATAATTATTTGCGTTATGGAGCCAATTCTAACAGTGTGTGGTCTGACATTAAAACAGGCCTTTTGTCTCTTATATGTATGTGCAAAACACAAGGTAATGCAAACCGCCTTTGATATTTACCTAGGCGAAGCTAACATACACAAGTAACTGAATTATATGAAATTTAAACTCATTCACAGTTAAAAGCATGTCTTACAAGTCTAGCTAAAGGTTATTTTTTTCATGTTTGTATGCTGCAGTGTTCAGAGATGCCTTTGTTTTAATTAGCACTTAATAGGACAGCCCTTGGCCATGAACTCTTATTTGGTTATTCCTCTCAAGACTAAAACATTCCTGATTAAAGCCCTGTGGATTTAACGTGCCTAGCAAATGGAAGCAGAACTGTCATTTTTCTTTTTTGCTTTGTTAACGTGTCCTTGCCCTGGAGTGTATTTTTTAAGTATTAGTTGTACATGTTCCACCAGTCTCACAGCAACTGTATTTTGCCTGACTCAAAGAGCTTTATGAATCACTAACATTTATATGACAAATGGTAAATTAACTTTTATTACCTACCCCCAAAGCTAACATTAGATTCTTTTTTCAAAATTTGCTACAGTACATACGTGATCTTTACAGGTGGGAGACACATGCAACAGATTCCAGATAGAATGAAAGATATCTTACAGGAGACAAAAAAATACAATCTTCATTTCAAATGATGTCAGGGAATTTAGGTATGTTACTGTTTTCATTGATGTCTTGTGAGATGCCCTCAGAACATAGGCTCAGTAAATGCCGAACAAGAATTTTTTATGGTTAATTATGGCGTAGAAATGTGAACTGTGGGAGTAGAGTCTCCTCAGGAAAGCAACACATTTGCATCACTTTCATGACTAATAGAAGAAAAA